AAAAAAACAAAAAAACAAAAACAAAACAACAACAACAAAAAAAAAACGCGTGTTTGCTCGGCGACAGTTTTAAAGACGTTTTTAGAAGTTTTTTTACTTGAAAATACATACCATTTTTATAAACATCACTTGGTCCAGAACTGACGTTTGACAGTCGAAGAGAAAATAACGATCCACTTGCTTTCAGTTCGGAATTCTTTTCATCCATGACCATTCTTAGCATGGATCTTGATTCGTTTGCGTAACTACGAGGCTCCAAAACTTCTAAAAATTCACAGAGAAAAATAGTCCAGTATTTGAAACTACAACATAGACACGGTAAAACATGAAATACTGCATGCTTAAAAGGTTGGCAAAAGTTGTTTTTATTTTGGTAAACCCTTGTATGACAACTATTTTATCTTTTCGACCACAGCATGTCAGTATGAAGAATGTGTTAAAGTATGAAGAATGTGAAAAATCGCTAATTCTAGCGCCGCTGTTTTACCTCTTTTTATATTTAAATATGTTTTTTGAGCTATTGCAGTATTTTTTTTAGAGATTTTAATGTTATGTAATAAGCATATCGATGTTTCTTTGTCAAAAACTAACAACCCAATTTAAATCTCACCTCCGTTATTTTCAAATTCACTGAAGATACTTTAACAAAACTAAGGAAAATGTGTGTACGGTGCCTTCCTATTCCACGTACAATTAATTTGCGACGGGGAAAATATTATATAACTTGTTACATACAAATTACCAATACAGGTGTCTTTGACTTACCGATAAAGTACGAATTAACAACAAAAAAATTTATGACAACCAAGAGGAGCAATTCTCTGTACATCTTTAGCAGCAAAACGAAACTGAAATTGCAAGTTCAAGAGTTGAATGTAATCAGAGTTTGGAATTGTGATTTGGATGATAAAGATGGCAAATTAGTGGCGAGAAAATATTTCAAACGTCAGTCAAGTTCGCATGACAAATAACTAAGAAACATAGTTAGTTCGCAATAGGGGGTTTGCGTTGGTTTGAGGACGGGTAGATGCTGTTTTTTAAGAAGATTTAAATGCAGTTGAGATAACCGAAGGAGATATCGCTATCGCTGTTAAACTGGAGTTTGTACGGCGAATATCGGTGTCGGTTTGATTTAGCGGTTTAAGTGAAAAGATTCAAACCTTAGCAAAAATAAACAAATAATCTTAATTCTTAGTCATTTTAGTTAATTACAAAATACTTTGACTGCGAAACATACCTTCTTAAGAGACTATACTTCTAAGATCGTCTAAAAGCAACAAAACAAAACTGATTTGCCAACATCTTTGGGAAACGATCGAGCACCGAACATAATCAACCAAAAAGAACACTCTTGTTGTTTTTAACGAGAGGAAATGAATGGTTGTCTTTGTCAAAGGAAAAAAAAGACAGAATTAAACTTACCATAAGGCGACTGAGACGCAAATAAAATATTTATGTCAAAACGTATGGTTTCAGGTTGTCACATTGAAATTCGATTATGACGTTCACTCAAGTCCCTCGTGCCAAAAATTGAATTTGGAGAAACTAAGGATGATATTCCTTTATTATCCTAACTTTCTATGGATAATACGCAGCCAATTAGTTACTGGTGAGTGTGATAATTATTTACATATCAATTGTATAATAACTTGTTTTTCTACTGTGAAACTTCTCTACTATTAATTTGGCTGTCGCTTAAAATTTTTTAAGCTTCTTATTTTTGTCACATTCGGCAACCGTAAAAAATTCTTGGGGTCGGCAAATTTGGCATTAAATAAACCTTTAGCAAAAACTAACTTTTCAGGCCATTAAAACTGAACCTTATTGATTGCTTACGACTATCTGAAGTCTTTCTAAACCTCCATAGAAATGTCTAGAAAAGACGGTTGAAAAGATTTGACAGCTAAATAAATTAAGTTATAACGCTATAGTTGTCAATAGAAACATCAAACTGCAATAACGTCTGGCAGACATCAAAAACCACTGTGTTATTATTTACGTACTGATGTCACGGTAAAATGTGCAATATCAATATGGTTACAACTCTATTTACCATAGTAAATAGAGGGGTGACTAAATGTTATTATTTACTGATGTTCAATGATGCAAGTAACAAAGGTTTGGCTTTTTGGACAAAAAAATAAAAAGCAAAAATGAAACATTTTTCTAGACTTATGTGGTAATTTAGGACTTTTTTTACTTTTACTTATGAATGTGAAWCAGTTATTCAAGCATTTAAAGTCGATATTTGTTTGCTTATCTTCTTATTCTTCCAACATTTTAGTAAAGCAATTTTCAATGTTACACGAACTAGGTAGTTGCGAAGGGCAAGCTAAAATATACTACCTTTTGCGCCTCTGGCGGCTGAAAAACTAAATTCCAACGAGCAATTCCCACTCGCAGCGACCAAGTTCGGGTAATATTTATTGAGAATTTGCTGCAAATTATCAGTTAAAAGGCTGTTGGAACTTCTGAATCGTATTTCTACCATAAATAAAGCACGTTTTACTTAAAGCACAGGCCATTGCACACTTTCAAGTAATTCATTTTAAATCAAAGGCAGCTATAGTATATGAGAAATGACTTCGATTCAGTTACATTGTTAATCTTGGAATTGGGGGCCACAGGGATCATTTTAAGTTCATGACATCATCGTCACAACCACAACCACCACCACTATCACCAAACACCACAACTAACCATCATCATTATCACCACTATCCAACATCACCAACATCATTACTGTTAACAATTCGAAACTTAGAGGAATGTAGCATATCAGCATCAACATTGCATCCTCATCAAGGAAAAAGAACCTCCTTAGACCGCGTTAATCTATCATTACTTTGGCAATAAAAAAAGTAATTAAACACTCTAAAATACCTTAATGAGAAAACCGAAGCAGCACTGCGGTAATAAAAGTCAAATCAGTTAAAGCTATTAAAGGTATGACAAGCTGTGTGAGAAAATAAGAAGAGAAGAACTCGCGAGGCGTATGAATTTTTCTTCGGACAGCACAATCCCGTAAAAACGGAACCCCTTAAACGAACGACGTTTTGAGTGGTTAAAAATTCCTCTGGGAACGTGTAAACACAGCCTCAGTTTTATACAAGTAAGGTGTTATTAAAGTTGCAGGCAGAATTTGTAACTGGAATCATTTGATTTTTTAACAATGCCAAAGTTTTATTCTTTTATACGGTTTTTTGGAAGTTGAGTATCCATTTGGATCCATAGGTAGATTGTTTCACATGTACAGAATTAGCGGTTTAATTCCAAGCAAGTCATCTTTAGATTTTAATCTAAAAAACTATTCAATTTTTTTAGATTTACCTTGAAGGGATAGCTCATATTTGACTCAGCGAGCAGGGTCTCCTTTGATACTCGTATTTGTGCTACTGTACTCAAATTTTCTATAGTGTGTGAAGATTTCCTTTCATCATTTTGTTTGGCAATGAATCTGCTCACCTTATGATTTGAACTGTAGAATATAACAATACAAGCAGTTCCTCAATAGCTTCTGTCCTTTAAAAAGGAAGTTCTTGTATAATACTATCTTAGTGCTGGCAACTCTTTGATCCTCGGTACTGAAATGCAAATATGAAAATAACATAATCATCTTAGATTGCGTTTCAACATATCTTGGCTTTAATTTCTTCGACTTTGAAAAGAGCTAGCTGTCGCCATCTTGGTCTGTAAATATTCTAATAACAATACGATTAAAGCTTACCGCTTTTCAGTGAGTTCTATTTTGTGAAGGTAGACTGTTGAATTGTTTTGTGATCATTATTCTTTTTCTCTTGCGTAGGGCTGCTATCCCGCTGAGAGAAACCTATTTCATTTTTATTGTATGGGTAAAAAAATCGTTTTATTTCCACAAATGAATTCTCAGAACTGAATATTGGGGATACAAGTTGTTGGAGCCAAGCTCGTTAATTGGATACATGGCTAATGCATGGTACATCCAGTATAGGGTTACAAGAAAGGATTCAAGAGATCTACGTTCAATAATTTCCACTTATTGTTAAATTCAACCTTCAAATTAATTTGATTGGTAAAGCTTTTTACTTTGTGATCAAAGCTAGCCTTTTGCTCTAGTTGAAGGATCATAAGCAAACAGGTAAATAAAGAAAAATTACTTTTAGATAATTACAGTCACCAAGGCCAAAACCTCACAAGTTCACAGTCAAAATCAATTTTTCGAGATTTAGTTTGGACATTGATACTTTTTTAACCTCATAATTTTAGAGTTTTTGATCAAATTCAATTTCTTGATTCGCAGGCTTATTTAAACAAAGACACAGCGAGTTGGCAGCTGGCACTAGAGTTATTRGTAAAACGCGGAAAATAATATCAGGCAAGACACAATGAATTTTTTTGTTTTGTTTTTGTGAACGGTTTTGATTTAATATGTTGATCATAGAAGTGCGGAATATCTATCTGCCTGCGGTGTCCCTGTTTGAGTCCCTGTTTGTGATTTTGTTTGTGTCCCTGTTTGTGATCCTGTTTGTGTCCCTGTTTGTGTCCCTGTTTGTGTCCCTGTTGGTGTCCCTGTTTGTGATCCTGTTTGTGTCCCTGTTGCTGTCCCTGTTTGTGATCCTATTTGTGTCCCTGTTTGTGTCCCTGTTTGTGTCCCTGTTTGTGATCCTGTTTGTGTCCCTGTTGGTGTCCCTGTTTGTGTTCCTGTTTGTGATCCTGTGTTCCTGTGTTCCTGTGTTCCTGTGTTCCTGTGTTCCTGTGTTCCTGTGTTCCTGTGTTCCTGTGTTCCTGTGTTCCTGTGTTCCTGTGTTCCTGTTTGTGATCCTGTTTGTGTCCCTGTTTGTGATCCTGTTTGTGTCCCTGTTTGTGTCCCTGTTTGGGTCGGGTGCTGGGCAGGACTGAGAGGGCCTTGCACACAAATTTGCCCTTCCAAATTTTGCTTTCAGCACAGTGGTTTTGAACCATCACATGATGGCAGCCATGACAGGAGGCAGGAAACATTGAATCTTCAAAAGAGAAAGATCAGAGAAGCCGTAGAAATGAGACGAATTAGSCCTTAAATAAAGAACAAAGAGCAATGCATTAAAATCCCACGAGGCTATTAGAAACTGTTAATGCATGAATTTCTTAGTCATCGCTAAGATATCGCCACTGAATAAAGGAAGAGTGATCTCTTTCGAAACGTCTGACTAAATCTACTTTTGACTCTGTTATCTGGTATCTCTTTTATATTTATTTATAATGCCAGAGTTGTTAAAAGCTTTCTTTTCGCGATATATTTGTTAGTTCTCTTTTTTAATTTTGTTAAAACAGTTTTGGGGCGATAAGATGCTTCCTGTTGTTTTTATGGATGTATTTTGGTTTATGGTTTTATTATTTTGTTGCTGTAGAGGTGCATAAGGATTGCTGAGTTGTTTTTCCCTGTACGATTGCTTGTTTGTTCACTTGTTTGTTTTGTTTTTATGCGGTTCTGTTTAGGTTTTATCGTCGTACTTCTGTTGAATTTGATTTTTGATGTATTTTCTTCTTCCTTTTTAGGGATATAAATGAATATGTTGAATACAAAGGAAAGTGAGATCCTTCACTCTTCCTTATGGTTCATGGTGCTTCTGCTTTGCTGTATCATTCAAGGAGAGTCATGTGTTCCTATCAAGATAGGTACCCCCAAACATCTTCGATAAAAACATCGATAAGAAACATCGCACTTTTTGTTTGAAAATTTATTGATAAAAATGCTACGACGATTATTTTTATCGCTGCTTTTTGCAAAATGTCATTATTTGTCAGTCAATGTCTCACAATCTCACTAAGCTTCTCAAAATGTATTGATGGGTCAGATCTTTTTTACCATCGTCATACCCGCAATGTTGGTTGACGATAACAAAGCATCCCTCATTAGCTTCTCTTGTTAGTTCAGCCAACATAGCAGCGCGGTTTCATCGTTATTTATATCTCAAGGGATTTTGAGTCACGTGGTTGCACGCCAAGAATAGCAACATGGCGGCGCCATGTCACCATTAAATAAAAAATCATTAACCAGTAATTCTGTTTTTTATTTGTCTTTCCAGAAATGAATACAGAGAGTGACATTGAGTTCCTAGCTACTCAACGTGCACTACAGATGTATAATGAATCTAATTTTACGTTTGAGTCGAGAAATAAGAATAATATGACCGCTATTAATCTGTATGAGTATGGTGAGTAAGGGGTGACATGAATGGCAGCCTACGCAAGAAGCATGAACTAACGACAGGGGATAGACAGGGCGAGTTTGCCAAGGGGACCATTTCCTCCGTGGCAACAAAATGGCGGCTTTCAAAAATATACACATTTTTTCCTTCAATTTTTGCAAATATAATACGTAAAACTTAATGCCACTCGGTTCTTTCTTTCTTTCGTTCGTTGTTTTTGGTTTGTCGTTTCAGGGGCTCAAACAAAATGGCAGATTTTTGAATTTGGCTTTCCCCTCCTCTTTGGAAATTTCTGGCTACACCGCTGTACGAGATATATATTGCATTACTATTTTATCCACACCTTTGTTGAACCGCAAATGGGTCAATACAATGCAAACTTGATCCATTGTCCTCATTGGATGTCAAACCCCTAACCAACTGCATCGAATTTGTTTATAGTTCAGTCTCTCCTCGACCATGATGTTGCCGTGATTATTGAAGGCATGGGAACTAGCAAGCAAAGCTGTTCTGCAAGTGCTGTTGCTAATATTCCACTAATAAGAATTCATGACAGAGTAAACCGCGAAATATCAACAAGTCTTCAGTTCTGTCAGCCCTCCTTTGCATTGAATGCTGGGTACGAGGACTACTCGGAGGCTGTGATGTCAATACTGGACATGTTTGGATGGAACACAATGACCCTTATTTATGATAGTGAGTATTACCCTTGAGACAGATTTTCCGTTGATTTTCATAGAATAGGAGGTCAGGGGTCCCTTTTCCATTGAAGCGAAAATAAATTATTAAAGTCCCCTTGACAGTTCCCTGCGCCATCTTAAAAGGTAGCCGTGCCTTTGCATCGAAGCGAGAAGAATGGTGAGCTTGGAATGATAGAGACATGTGAATAATTGTAAAAGGTCTCTATCATTGCAAGTGCACCGTTCGTCTTGCTTCGATCAAAGACACGGTTACCTTTCAAGATGGCGCAGGAAACTGTGAAAGGGACTATTAGATTTTTACCGTGATCATGCTCAGTTCTGGGCAAAGTCTTGAGCTTGTGGAACTTTTAAATAACAGGCCATTGGCGCTGACAGCTCAAATGAACCAAGCCCTTTTAACAACTCACTTTGCGTAGTAATGAAAAATGCACCTCTCCATAGGTGAAGCTTCAGATCAGATGTAGAATATAAGAGAAATATCATTAAATTGGATATTATTTGTGCGAGGTTTGCAGCTAATCTTCGTTCGCACTTGACGTCACACCCATATTTTATGCACAGCCTTAAAAACAGGATGCCATGCTATGAGTTTTTTAAAACTCATTTTATTTTCTTATTATTTTGTAGCTGATAGATTCCATGAAGTGGCTTTCTTCAGCTCACTAAGCTTGGCAAGAAACTGTCAGCTGCACTACATAAACGCGCAGCACACCAATGAAGATCCGAAATCCGATGACAACATTTACCGAATCGTTAAACAAATTCAAACACTGTCAAGTCAAGTTCACATTCTTTTCATTGATATCGAGATGATCAAAAAGATCCTAGAAAAGGTACAACTGGTTGTATGTTAAGAGAAAAACATTTCTAGGAGTGTCTGCCTTCCTTTCTAGACTGGTTTGTTGGCCAGCATCTATTCACAGATAAGGAACCGTGCCCATCACTACAAGCATCGATCGCAATACTGGGTCTGTGAGCTGCCATATTCCCAGATCCGAAAATCTGTGAGCCAGCATTTTCCTAGATCAGGAGCCCGTTACTAGGAGCATCTATTTCCCATACTGGATCTGTGATGCAACATAATAAGAGACCAGGAGTTCATTACAAAGGAGCATTCATCTTCCATTCTGGGCCTGTAAGCCAGCATGTTCCCAGATAAGGAGCATCCATTTTCCATAAGGTGTCGAATAGTGAGCCAGCATATTCCCAGACGAGATCCCTGAGAGTATTGCTAGAAATGATATAATCTGTCATTCTGATTCCTTTTAATTAAGAATATGAATTATAAAACGAAAGTAACGATGAGGAAAGTTTAATAAAGAGCAATCCATGTTAGCAACGAAGAAATCGTGAACTTTACTTTCTAATAAGTACTTTAACTCAGATAGGTGGATCGTGAACTTTACTTTCTAATAAGTACTTTAACTCAGATAGGTGGATC